AATCCACGAAAATACCAGCTCCAGAAAGAGGTCAATCCAGGCCACGAGGACTGAGCCCAGGGAGCCTCTCGGGAAATCTGAGATTCCCGAGTTTGGAAGGCCACGAGGGGTGTCTGTCCAAGGGGTTCCATGTGTGGAGGAGTTCAAAGCCTTCCTGATTGTGATCCAGGGCTGCCTCAAGTACTCAGTTACAAAATAAATATTCTTTTTACCACTTTTAGACATGTAAAAATTTCAAAACACAGAAAGACTGGGAAAAAAAAGTACAGTGAACACCCATAAACCCACTGCCTATATTCTACAGCTATTTTTACGATTTTAAAAATCATTTTTTAAGCTAGTGTACTTTCTCTGACACTTTGTGTATTTTACAGCATTGGTAATCTCTTTGACTTTCAGATAAGAAAATGGTCCACACCGGAGCTTAAAAATGACTTATTATTCAACCGCCACCACCCACTCCCTCCCTTCTCACTGGTTCTGGCACGGTTCTAGTCCAGTTCCCCAAACTGAGTGGAGCAGCCCATACGAGTAGAAGAGCTTTATCTTCCTCTCAGGCTCTCGGGAGCCCGTGACCCATCCAGTCCCTGGTCTAGCTACGCCTTCCCCTTAAACCCCTCTGAGGTGTGTCTGCCAGACACTCAGGACTCTCGCTCCATCTAAGATTTCTAAAACCTCCTCACGGGCCTCGATCCCTCCTCAGAAGAGCCTTGGCACCCCTGCACGTTCGCTGCCCCTCACTCGGCAGCCAGCTCTGGGACCTTGGACAGTTTGGGGCAGAGATGTGGCCCCCAAAGGGCCCTGCAGCAATCTTTCCCCAAGGCCTTCCCCTCGCCTTACAGGGCAGGTGCGCTCGCCAGACAGAGACTCAGACAGAGAGAGTGAGAAAGCACCCCCTCCCCCACAAAGGATGTCCTGCCACCATCCCTTCTCCATCTTGTCTCAGGATTTTGTTTTGTTTTGTTTTATGAGGAGAGGTTTTTTGCTATAAGGTGCGTGCACTTGCCAGAAAGACAGAGAGAGACAGAGAGACAGCGAGAAATTGACCCCTCGGGGGATGACCACACTGCAGTCCCTTCTCCATTCTCCTCTCAGGGTCTTGGGCACACACTCACACCCACCTGGTATGAGTTCAAGCCACCAGATCTAGGACTCAAACCACAGTGGACCATGTGGGAGTTCAGGGACATAACCATTATGCCGTCTGCTGGTCCCTCGGGATTTTTTTTTAATGAAAAATATTTTACTTTTGGGCTGGCCCCCTTACCTACTATAGGGTCGTCGGCAAAGTCATGATATATTTTTGCATAGAAAAATAGAAAAATACATCATGACTTTCCCAACAACCTCATAGTTAAGGGAGCCAGATCTCACATGGCCACCTACAGTTCAAATCCTGGCCCCGCAGTTTAAAAATCACTCTAGTGGCCTCCCCAGACCTCAACAGGATGGAGAAATACAGGTGGAAGGATTGTGGCACAACCATGCCCCAGGGTTGGGGTTGCTTTCTCCCTCTCCTCTCTCATTTTTTTTAAATTTTGTTTTTAAGTTTTTTGCCTTGGGCGCATGTGTTAACCAGAGACAGACAGAGACAGTGAGAGAGAAAGTGAGAAATCACCCCCTGGGTGGATGGCCATGCCACAGTCCCTTTCCTTCATTCTCTTCCCAGGATCTTTGGCACACATGCACACGTGTCTGGCATGATTTTCAAGTCACTGGGTCTGGGGCTTGAACCACAGTCGGCATTGTGGTAGTCCAGCGATGTAACTGCTACATCATCTGCTGGTCTCTCTCCTCTTTCTGTCTCTCTCT